CTGTCGAGGCACAGGGGGTGGTCCCCCAGGAGGGCTGGGGTTCGGGCGGGGTGGGGCTGCTCTACCGCAGACATAGGGGGGATGCGTCTCAGCCCGCCTGGCAGTACCTGTCAGGCCCCAGACCGAGAGGCGCGCTTGGCCCAGGTGTAGCGAGTGCGCTATCTGCACGTGTGCACTCCATGGGGCACAGCTGCTGGAGTCCATCTCGCCTCTTGTTGGCTGTGGGGATGGGGTGGTGGGCACTCGTTCCCCTCCCTTCTGTCCCTTTGAGACCTCTGTGCACGGAAGAGAGAGTCTGGGGGCTCCTGGGCGGGCCACTAACCCACTGATTAGTTGTGAACCAGGAGGGAGAGGGTGCTCCTACCCTGGTTCACGACAAGTGGGCGTTTGTGGGGCATCCACCCTGCGCCAGGCCCGAGGAGTGCTGACCTTAAACATAAGATTCTCCCTGTCTCCTGTGGCCATAGCTCTTCCTCTGTCCACAAGACGCCGCCCCGCTGCACAGGAGGCACCAGTCCGCCAAGGGGAGGGGAGGTTCTGGTGCACCTGCCTGGACACCCAGGGGTCACTCAGGTGCCCAGCCAAGTGCTTCTCAGCTCTCGGTGCCCGAGGAGTGCACGTGGCTGGCAGATGGGCTGCCCCCAGCAAGCCTGGCAGAGGCTCAGGGCATGAACCACACAGCTGCTTCTCTGTCTGTTGCCATGCCTGGCTGCATGGGAAGCAGTTTCTTGTTTTTATTTATTTTTTTAAATATATTTTTTATGGGCTTTGAGAGGAAGGGAGAGAGAGAGAGAGAAACATCAATGATGAGACTCATCAATTGCCTGCCTCCTGCACGCCCCCTACTGGGGATGGAGCCCGCAACCCGGGCATGTGCCCTGACCAGGAATCGAACAGTTCATAGGTTGATGCTCAGTCACTGCGCCGCACGGGCTGGGTGGGGAAGCAGTTTTTGACATCGTTGCGTGCTGCCCTTCCCAGGCACAAGGAGCTGCTTCCCCCACCTCGAGCTTATCTGGTTGCAGCTTCTAGAATTTCCTCGCCCTTCCTCACGCTGCCACAAAGCCGGGCAGCCTGGGGTCCAGGTTCCTATGAAAATTCTGTTTTCTTCTGAGCAATGTAAGAGACCCTGGAGCGGGGGGAATGTCCTAGGACTGGCATTCGCCAGTGCCCCAGTCTGGATGTTTCTGTGTCCTGTTCTGAATGTGATCTCCTTTTACTCAGCCAGGAGAAATTGATTTCTTGGGTTCAACCAGGAAAATGGACCGTAGGCGGAGGGGGCAGAGAACGCGGGCTGTGGGCGAGGAGGGTTAAGTCGGAGCGAGAAAGGCCCCGGTCGCGGTAGGCCTGGGGTCAGGGCCGGATCACGTTCTGGGAGGGACTGGAAGGCCCACATCATTTTTGCTGTTGTTGCCAAAGTGTTTAAAGTCTAGGTCACATCCCTGTACTGTACATGGAAACATCTGAATCCCATTTGCTGCGGTTTAGTGAGTTTCTGTAGAGGTCAGAGTTTAGACTTCTCGGTGTAAAGTTTCCAGCGAGTAGCTAGCTATCTGCGGAGGAGCCGGGGGTGGAAATCTGGATCGTGTCGGTTTAAATCCCCACCGAGCGAGCGAGCGAGCGAGCAATCACTGGGCCCTGTACCCATGGCATCTGAGCCATGAGAGTTCATGTCAGTCCTCCAGGCTTTCGGGGCTGCCCTTCCCTCCGGCGCCATGTGAGGGCGCTGTGCTTTAGATAAAGGAACAGGGCCAACAGGCTGAGCTGGGCCCTGCCAGCGGCGAGTGGACCTCTTAGACCAGAGATTCTGTTGTTTAGTCTGTCCTGTTCCTCCCGTCCCTGTGAGCTGGATGCTGGGCCCTCCTTCCTTAAGTGCACTCTGGCCGGAGGCAGGAGGGGACGGACAGCCTGGGGACTTGGTTTGCAAGGTGGTCTGGACGCACGGAGAAGGGAAAGAAGCAGGGAGTAGGCTGACCAAGGGTGCATGGCGCTCCGCGCTTGAGACGGCCCAGGTGGGTGGGCACCTGACAGTCCCTCTTGACCGTGGTGGAAGCACTGGGAGGTGGAGACCTGGCGTGTGCATGTATGTGTGCACGTGTGCGTGGCATGTGTCAGGACAAGGCGTGGGAGACGGGCAATGCCATGCAGATAAATCATGGTGGCCATAGAACCAGGTAGAGCGGGGGTGGCCCACTTCATCTGTAAAAGGCCGAATAGTAACTATTTTAGGGATTGCGGGGCCCCAGGTCTCTGTTGCACCTACTCAGCGAGAAAGCAACCACAGAGGGTAAATAGACAAATGGAGAGTCAATAAAACTTTATGGAACGATGTTGAGTATCAAGGAAATCCTGCCACATCTAACGTCCCCGCAATGGCTCGGGGAACAGGGGCGGGAGACACAGGCCTGCTCCTGCTGTGTGGACTCCTCCGTGCTGCCTGTCTCCTGGGCTGTTTTGTTGTTGTTGTTGTTAATGTTAATCCTCACCCGGGGATATTTTTCCATTGATTCATCGAGAGAGTGGAAGGGCGGGGGAGAGACAGAGAGAGGGAAACATCGCTGTGAGAGAGACACATTGACTGGTTGCCTCCTGCATGCGCCCCCACCAGGACTGGGGATCGAGCCTGCAACCGAGGTACCTGCCCTTGACCGGAATCGAGCCCAGGACCCTTCAGTCCGTGGGCTGACGCTCTACCCATTGAGCTAAACCGGCGAGGAGTCGACAGACATTTGAAGGAGGGAAACAGTGACACTGGATCCTCCCTTCATTGTTTAGGGGTGTGAAGAGTAAACCTGCCCCCCACCCTCTGTGCTCGCCAGTGGGCACAGGTGTGGGCCTGTGGTGTCTACTCTCTCTGCGTCTCATTTCGGAAGGCTGGGCAAGCCGGGTGCGCTGCTTGGAGCTGCAGAGACCCCCGGCTCAAGCCTTCGCTGTTTTCTGTTTATGCGGCTCCGCTGTATTTACATTTCCGAGAGTCTACGGAGGTGGCGTAAGGTTTTGGAAGCGTGTCCGTAGCTGTGTCATTTCAAAGCCATGACGTTCGCGCCTGGGAGGAAGGTATTTCCTGCCCCAAATAGTTGACGTCAGTTTGGACCCGCTGCCGCCCGCGAAGAGGACCAGATCGCGGGATGCCAGCGGGGCCGGAACCCGGTTCAGCTTCCCGGGATTGGCAGTGGAGACGGAACTCCAAGGTTGGAATGAGTGTCTGTGCCGCTTGTGGTGAGAGGGGGGGGGACTGCTACCCCTGCCCGTGAGGACACACAGTGGGAGGAGGGGGGGCCCTGCCTGCAGGGTCGGGCAGCCGAGCAGTGACCCTGCTGCTGCCGATGAACGCTGACAGACTGGGTAGTCCACGCGTCAGGCTCTGTCCCCCGCTTCGTGGCCGAGGCTGGGCTGCCAGGGCCATGCTGGGACCAGCCCGGACACCCGGGAGCTCCGG